CAGCAATGGCAGCTCAAGAGAGTACATGGTTGATACAGTTGATGAATAATCTACATCAACCAGTAGATTATGCAATTCCGTTGTATTGTGACAACCAATCGGCAATTCGGCTAGCGGAGAATCCTGTCTTTCATGCAAGAACTAAACATGTGGAAGTACATTACCACTTTGTTAGGGAAAAAGTTTTGCAAGAAGAGATTGAGATGAGGCAAATCAAGACAGATGAGCAAATTGCTGACTTGTTTACAAAAAGCTTGAGTGTTGGAAAGTTTGAACATTTCCGTCGTCAGCATGGCGTGATTCAAAGAATGGAGGCTAACATTGAGGGGGAGTGTTGAAAATTCAATATTAGCCTATATGTTCACACCTAAATTAATTTGATGTCATTGCTTACATCAATTTAGTTTTGATGTCATTGCTTACATCAATTTAGTTAGGTGAAAATTAAGTATTTTTCTCATGTTTTAATTTCAATGGTTTAGATTATTTAGTGTTTATTTTAATGAGTGGTTTAGATTGTTTCTTGTAACCTATAAATACCCTACTTGTATTTGAGTTTTATCATCCAACAATCAAAGCTTAATTATAAGCATTTGAAAGCTTTCTTAAGAGTTCTTCCCTTTTGCAATTTTGTGAGATTATTCTAAAGAGAGTTTTTTTTTTTTATCAATTAGAGTTTTTACTCTATTTTGATTCAACAGGAAGGGTTTGATTTAAGCTTAATTTTGTACATAATTGTTTTTCAAGCATACAATATAAATGGGGGAGCCAAGTAAAGAAAGTATGAGATTGAAGCAATTTTATCATTCCCTCAATTAAAAAATTATATTTATAAAAAATAAAAAATATTTTAACCCACTTCTATAAATTTCTGGTTCCGTCATTGAAACGTTACGAGGCTATTTAATACTATGAGTAAACCACCCGTCTGACATTGGCTTAGTATCTCAAACCGGATTCGTTGGGAGAGGAATTTCTCAGAGTTCAACAGCTGTTCTAGATGTGAACACCCAGTTTAGGATTGTTTACATGTATTTTTGGAATAGCTGTTAATTGTCTTTGTTGGATGTTTTTTGGAATATCAGTAGATATGGATCAGATGACCAATTACATGTAATGGATGCAGCATCTCATTGAAGAGACCAATTACGTGAAATTCCTCGACATTTTCTCATATAATTTAAGACCAAAATGCTGCTAAGAACCCTCGGAAACTACGACAGACAAATGTCCTTTTATCTGATATATGAAAAACAAGGATGAACAAGATACCATTCAAGTAACCGAGTATGAAAAAATGCAGAGAATGGGAGGTTTTGATTGTTCATGAAGTTGCTAACATGTATTGCAGTTGTTTCTGCTTTAATCAAAATCTGCATGGGAGGTGAGTTACAAGAATCCAAATCCTTTTACAGCTTCATTAGAGATCCACAAAATAATCTTGGGATTCAATGGAATGAGTTGTCACACAATCCATGCTTGCTTAAACTTAATGGTGTCATGTGCAATCGGCCGCAGGCTTCCTCGATTGTAGAAATGAGGCTTGAAAATATTAATCTTAGCGGTGTTATGGATGCAGATTCCCTCTGCAAACTCCGAAAGGTCGAAGTTGTTAGCTTATCGAGAAATCTTATACATGGAACGATACCGAGCACAATATTGTACTGCACTAGGCTGAGTTATCTGAACTTGTGCAGCAACTCACTGAGTGGGAGAGTTCCACAGATTCTATCCAAGTTGAAGTATCTCATGAGTTTGGACATCTCTAATAATCCTTCTATGATTCTCGGGTCGACTATCAGAAAGGGATCGGGACGTTCTTATGATTATTTCGAGAAACCGGTTTCGTTATGAAGAGATGGTCAGTTAAATACAACAGAAAGGAAAGCTGCAGGAGCCTCGAAAGATTCTAGTGAAAAGAATTCAACCAGTCTGTTGGTCATTTTGTTGCCTTTGTTTTTTAGCTTTGGATTCCTCTTTGTATTCATATTCTATATGAGCAAGAGGGCCAACAAAATAGCCAAAGAGAAGGAGACACTAAAGGTGCTTAAAGAATCGCCGCTCAAACTTCCTCCGATTGACGCCGAACAGGAAGTGAAGCAAGAGGATAATAGACAACAAGATCTTGTTTTCTTTGTTGAAGATCGTGAAAGTTTCAAACTAGATGATCTCCTCGAAGCCTCAGCCGATTTACGAAGTCAGAGCATTTGCAGTAGCCTTTACAAGGTAATACTTAAGAACAATGTCACTTATGATGTTAAAAGATTGAAGAAATTACAGGTGTCTCTCGAAGATTTCAGCCAAACAATGAGGCGGATCGGGAACTTGAAGCATCGAAATATCCTACCCCTTATAGGCTACAGTTGTACTAATGAAGAAAAGCTTATTTTCTACAAGTATCAGAGCAGTGGAAGCCTCCTAAACTTGCTACAAGGTACACCGATAAGTGAGTATTCCTCATGGAAATTTAAAGCTCTCAAGCATACTGTTGGGTGAAAACATGGAACCATTGATAAGTGAGTATGGGATTCCAAGTCTTTTAGATCACAAAAGGAATTGTTTTTTCGCCAACGGTTATGCTGCACCAGAGAAAAGTTTATCGGAAAAAGGTGATGTTTTCAGCTTTGGAGTCATCCTACTAGAGTTACTAACAGGCAAGATGGTGGAAAAAACCGAAGTAGACCTTCCGAAGTGGGTGAAGTCGATGGTGAGGGAAGAATGGACCGGAGAGGTCTTTGACAAAGAGGTCCCCAAAACTGCATTGAAGTGGGCATTTCCTTTGCTAAATACAGCTCTCAAGTGTGTATCTCATTCACCACAAGATAGACCAACTGCATTTGAGGTATCAGAAAAGATCGACGAGGCTTTGCTCGCACATGATGATCGTTCAGTTTCTTCGATGTCTTCATGGGAATATGGCCACCCTGATATGCTGTATACTTCACACTGTTATACCAGAAACTTGAGACACTCCAGGATCAAATTGCTAGAGCACTCTTCGTTGATTTTGCAGGAAGAAACATCCATGTTAAGTTCAATAAGCCATCTACCTCTCATAATGATGCAGAGTGATTATGTCATATTATTAGAATCACATATATTACAAGTTCATGCTATTTTATTTTTATCGTATTGTATTTTAACTTTTTTGTTTGTAAAAGTTAAAATTTGCTCAAATCACCATGTGAGAATGGGACCAATTAGTACAAGAAATGATAACTTGCATATTTTGGTTATAGTTTTTTGTTGGGAACTTTGAAGCTTAACTCACCCACTATAGAAGACCTAGGATATATCACTAATACTACACTATACCGATTATATATCATCCAGACGACAGAGCCGATCATATAACAAAACTAATAAAAGAGCACTAAAAATTTAAAACAAACCAAGATTTAAAAGGAAACTTAGAGGAGAGAACACTTTTTATTAATACAATTAAAAACTACAACTTAACCCACTATTTTTCTTTCTTTATGCTCCATCTCTTTTTAGCTCACACTTTTGGCACTCTTTTTTCTCTTTTTCGCTCTTATTACAATGGTAAAACTCACCCTTATTTATCAATTTTAGTATTCAGTGGATTATGAATACATCTTAGCTTAATATGTAGATTTTTTTAATATATAATTCTAGATATAATATTAAATATTATAAATATCCAGATTATTTTATAGATACTTATATATATATATATATTAAATGATATAGATTTCTCTATAATTTACATTAACTTTTAACAGTTTTTGTATATGGGATGTGATATACAATTATTAAAAAAGTTAAAATCAGTAGAAATAATACATCTTATAGAAGTAAAAGGTCGATCCATGTATACCAACAACGGTTGCAATGGAACAAATATAGTTAACAGTACAAGTCACGATTTTACTATTCATCTAATGCATGTTTGATGTACAAAGCAACAAAATACAATTACAATGATACATATTCCGATTTGATTGCTCCGTTGTGATTGTCCAGTGGTAGTTTCATCTTAGCGAATGACTGTAAATTGCTGCATGCTTTTCATGTACATGTCCAACTTTAAAGGAATGTCTCATTTGCAAAATTCAGAATTATTGAATGATGTTAATTCTTTTAGTGGGTTAAAACTTAACTAAAAGATAATTTGTGTGAGCTTTAATTTGAACCATATTTTCCTGCTTTTTTTGGGACAGTTAGTAATTACAAATTTCATACAAGGACAAGCGGAAGCACCGAATTAGCCATTGTTGCTAGATTAACATGACAGCTGCTGACCCCAAGCACTGCCCACAACGGCTATATTTTTGAATCTGTGGATTGACCCGATTGTCCCTATCATTTTTATAAAATTAAAGAACTATACACTGTATAAAAGTTTTTAGTTTTTAGATTCAAACATGGACGGAGCTAAAAATTAAATATTGACATAAGTCGAAATATTGAACTATTTAAGAAAAATATAAAGATTTATTAGGCATTCGAGCACTACACATGTAGGGATATGAGCGTTCATTGTAAAATATTTGAGAGTCTTTGTACATATATTACATTGTATTCACCCTAGATTTATTTTTAAAAAAACCTCAAAATGCATAAGATAACACCTAATTTGTCTAATATTTAAACTTACAATGACCTAAATTGTTATTAGACCAAAAATTTTGAGAACACATGATTATCATTCTTTAGTTCGGTCCTTAGTTGATTAAATGTTTAATAAATTCTTATATTTTTTAATTTAAATATTTATTTTTACATAAACTAAAATATTATTAGACCAAAATTATATTGAATATACAAATTTTAATAGGAGTCGGGACCCCTTTGGACCCTCACTAAGCTCCGTTCCTGGATTCAAACAATGTTTATTTGGTTAATTAACAAATATATATAGTGATAAGTTATGATAAAATTAATTTATTAAAGAGTCATTGTTATTATATATATATTTTATGTTATATATACAAATATAATAGAGTATTTTTAATAGTCTAGAGTATTTTTAATAGTATAGAGTAATTAAATATATGTTTAATTTTTTTAATCATTGACAATATACACATATTCGTAACTACTCGAACTTAGAATTTATAGGGAGAACAATACTCTATTTAATAATTAAAATCACTTTATGGGTTCAAATAAAATAGAGTTGAAAATGAAGTTAAATAAAAAGTCAAGCCTTAAATGTGCTTGCGGTTATCTTGAATGCAACACTTTTTAAGGGTGTAAATGTCATTATAAATACATTTATAAGTATAATAACATAAGATTTTTTTATTAGTATAGGATGATTATAAAAATTTAATTATTTGATAATAAATGTTTAAATATTATCACATGTGTTGTGTTTACGTTCAAAATTTCTAGAGATAATAATCATCTTTTAGTCATTGAAATTATTTAATTCGTATAAAATTCAAATAATTGTAATTATAATAAATTATATAACATGTTATCAAAATTAAAATATATTTCAAACAATACTAAAATAAATTTATTAAATAATGGCACTATTATTTTCCCGTGGAAAAGGGAAATAGTGTTGTAAGGATATTACAGTCATTTCGTACTATTAAAGCTCTCAGAGATCTACAATTTAACAATTCGAAAAACCTTAAAAACAAAAAAGAATTCGAAAAACCCAACGGTCATCTCCATCCCCAAATCACCACAAAAACTTCCATCTCTTTTATGATTCTTTACAAATTCAAATTTAACTTCAAGTTGAATCTCTCTCTCTCTCTCTCTCATAGATATCTCAAATCTTTCTTCTCCATACATTTTTTTGATTATTCCCAAAACAAGACAGCAAAACAATGAAATCAAGTACAGAATTCGCCGTTGCCGAGAATGGCCGTTTTTTGGGAAGCATTTCGACTTCTTCGCTTCTGAATTTGCTTCCAAAATCAAAGCTTAAGAAAATCATCAAGAAGCCCAACTCTGAAAACACTCCTCCACAAGATCCAAACATTATTCAAGGGAATAACTCTGCCCAATTCTCCCTTAAATATCCACTCTCCAAATCTCTTACTTCTGGCTCCTTCGTCAACCCATCTGACGGTCATACTGGAATCCCGCTTCCCACGGACTCTTCCATCAAGGTAAAGTAAACAATATCTTTTTAAAAAAATTGATGTATTTTAGTAATTGTTTGAAATTTAAGCAGAAAGAGATCGTTGAATCCGAAGAACAGAATAGAGAATTGACGACTTTAGATCCATTCGTCAAGGTAAATTTTGCAAACCTGATTATTAAATTTTCTGAGTAGAAAATTAAAGCTTTTATTTTAGTGTAAAATTTTTCTCATATTTTCAGAGCCTTTAGCATGTTTCTAGATTTGATTATGAATTTTTTTTCTTGTTTTTTTAATCATTAGTTAAAGTTGAAAACTGAATGACTCATTGAAGCTTGGTTTGTAGTGAAATTTAATTTTCATATTTGTTGTTAACAAATAGGTGGTAGTGAGAATTAGACCCATAAATGGTCAAACAAAAGAAGTGAATCGAACAGTGAGGAAGGTTTCTTCAGATTCTTTATCAGTTGGTGACCGCAAATTCACATTCGATTCCGTTCTTGATACGAATTCCAGTCAGGTTAGTCAGTACAAGCCAATTACAATTCTTTTTTTCCCTTTAAATGGGTGTTTTGGCTCGTAAACTGTATGATTTTTTTTGTGGCTACCAGGAGGACGTTTTTCGTCAAATTGGTGTTCCTTTGGTAAAGAATGCATTATCTGGTTACAACGCTTCAATTTTGTCATACGGACAGGTACTCTTTAGAATATGTATATAAGTATATATATAGATATTTATTAAGCTCTCCATCTATTTGATAAATGGTGAGCTTTGTATAAAGTGACTATCGTTTATACAAAATTACTTTTGAATAGACTGGAAGTGGAAAGACTTATACAATGTGGGGTCCACCAAGTGCCATGGTTGAGGATCCATCACCCAGAAGCCACCAGGGGATTGTCCCTCGTTTCTTCCAAATGCTGTTCTCTGAGATTCAAAGAGTATGCTTCTTCTATTTTACTCAGTCTGAATTCTTACAGGAAAAAAATAATAGGAGTTTGGAAGTGTGGTTCGTTGCTTCATATGGTTTGAATTTTACAGGAACAAGAGAACTCTGATGGAAAACAGACAAATTATCAGTGTCGTTGTTCTTTTCTTGAGGTATGTACTGGTTTGAAGTAGCTCCATACGGACAAAATTTGCCTGCTTTGAGCTGATCCCCACTTTTCTATATGGATCAGCGCGGAATTCATGAAGTGGGTCGAGTTTTTTGGGACCCTAAATTTGAAGACTTATGTAAAAAATATCTTGACTTTTTTTTGCTTCACATGATGTATTTGACTTGTGCACGATTATTTTGCAGATTTACAATGAACAAATTGGGGACTTACTTGATCCAACTCAAAGGAACCTTGAGGTAAATATCTATTACTACTTATTTTCCCCTTCAAACAGTTTCTCAGGGTTTATTGCTTCATGGTGTATAATTGGTTCACGTACATTGTTTTTCAGATAAAGGATGATCCCAAGAATGGAGTGTATGTTGAGAATTTAACTGAAGAATACGTTACTAGCTATGAGGATGTAACTCAAATTTTGATTAAGGTAGGCGGCCAACCATTTATAAGAACAAGTTTTAATATACTGTTTTACTCTTACTAGTACATGATCACTTCAATTTTGTGTTACAGGGGCTTTCTAGTAGGAAGGTTGGAGCAACAACTGTAAATTCTAAGAGTTCTCGGTCTCACATTGTGTTCACTTTCGTCATTGAATCTTGGTGCAAGGTACAGCCAAATCTTGATTTTCTACAACCATAGTCAAGTTTTAAGATCTACTAATCTTTCCTTCTGCGTGTCAACCCGTCTGTTTTGTTTTATGTCATTTTCTTGTCAATGCTCTTCAGTTCCATGATCAGTGTGACTAAATATACTTGTGCATATCTAAAATATCGGATTTTCTTCTCAATGTAATGAGCTGATCATCATTGTTTCATGCCACAGGAAGCTTCTTCAAAATGTTTTGGCAGTTCAAAAACAAGTAGAATCAGCTTGATTGACCTTGCTGGACTGGATAGAAACAAGCTTGAAGATGTGAGCAGACAACATGTACAGGAAGACAAAAATGTCAAGAAGTCCCTATCACAGCTCGGGTATGTATACCATCATCACCTTCATATAATCTGTAGCTATTAAAATAGTGTGTTTTAGATGTCGACATGTTTATAGAGTTTCAAGTATATCTGTGATTATTGGGTATTGTTGCTAGAGCTTATGGATAATCTTTAGTTGTTTAATGGTGTAGATATTTGGTGAACACTCTTGCAAAAGAAACTCAACCTGAAAAACCTGAAGATGTTCCATATAGAGGTTCCTCTTTAACACGTATACTGAAAGAATCCCTCGGTGGTAATGCCAAACTCACGGTCATTTGCAACATTTCTGCAGACAACAGGTATTTCAGTCGAATTACATTTTTTTACTGTGTTCATTATTGAATGCGAGTAGCAATAGCATTGAACCTTTAAGAACACTAACCTTAATATTTTTTATACATAAGATTAGCTGTAATTGTTTTCAAAGGCCATTATTTGAGTGAAGTGTTTGTGACTGCAGAAATAGTAGTGAAATATTGAGCACTCTCAGATTTGGGCAAAGGATTAAATTCATAAGAAACGAGCCAGTAATAAATGAAATATCTGAAGATCATGTCAATGGCTTGAGTGATCAGATTCGTCAACTGAAGGTTGAAAAGTTTCTGCATTATTTGTCTTTTTTAACTTATTGTACTAAATCATAACCTGACTTGCTCTTATCATTTACTATCAATTACAGGAAGAGCTTATAAGAGCAAAGTCTGACACATATAACTCAGTTGGTGGTAAAACTGGATATGTTAATGGGTGGAATGCACGCGAAAGCTTGAACCAGTTAAGAGTAAGTCTTAACCGCTCTTTGATCCTTCCACGCATAGATAACGACATCGAGGAAGTGCTTAATATCAGGGAGGAAGATATAAAGGAACTATGTCTGCACCTTGATTATTTGCATAGTTCTACTGATACAAACTTAAGAGATCCATCTGACAAGAGATGTTCCATTCAGTCTTCTTCTGTAAGAGAAAGTTGTGAGACGGACTTGCTGAGTGAAGATGACATTCATTGCCCAAAAGAAACGGAGATCAAAGAAATTGATGTAGAGGAACTCCCTCCCATGGTGATTCCTGCATCAACTGATGACCTTTCAAGTACATCAAAAACCTTGAAGGCTGTTGATCCTTCAATTAGAAATAGCATCTCCATTAACCCACACAGTCGGTCTTCAAATCTTGAAGAGCCTACTTTGTCAGAGTCTCCTAAAATTGAAAATAATCTAAGGAAAAGCATGGCTGTCCCATCTTCACTTTTGGCCAGTCAGAACAATGTATCAGAGAATTCAGAGTCAGAGGCATTATTACCGTCGCTCAAAGCCAGTGAGCACATCAAGTCCTCATTACGAGCAAGCAAGACGTTTTTAGGACCTACAGAGTCCTTGGCTGCTAGCCTTCAAAGAGGCCTGCAGATTATTGATAATCACCAGCATGGTTCAGCTTCCAACATATCTTCAGTTGCATTCTCTTTCGAACACTTGATGCTGAAACCTTGGCCAGAAGCAGACAAGGCCAATGCTTCTGTTCAAACATTACCAAATGATAAACCATCTTCAGATGGTTCTTCTACTCCTTTGCTTTGTTCATCTTGCCAGAAGAAGTTTGACAATAACAACCCAGAGGGGGTTCAGGATGGCTTGAAGACATGGATTGTAACAGTTGATAACCAACAGAGAGATGGCGAGAACTCAGTATGTTCAAGACTTGCTGAAACATGTTCTCTTTTTATGGTTTGCTTTTTGTTGTATACTTATTATTTTGTTGCTTCAATTTCAGGCTGTTACAAGGGATTTGGAAGAAGCCGCCAAAAGTGAGAAAACACTAGAAAGTATTTGTAGGGAGCAAGCAGCCAAAATTGAAGAGTTAAACCATCTGGTAATGATCTTACTGTGAACCCTTTAGACATGAGAAGATATTAGAACTTGGATTATATTTTGACGGTCTAAACTTCTACAGGTAGAACAATACAAACTTGAGAGAGAAATTTCTGCAATTGAACATGCTCCTGAGCATTCGAAGAATGAAATAATACCATTTGAGCAGTCCAACAATGGAGGAAATGGAAAAGAATATTTTGATATGAGTGAAAAGGAAGCACTTATTCAAGAAATTCAAACATTGAAGAGCAAATTGCAATCATATGCTGCACCATCTCCAAACATGTCTTCTGAAAAACTGAGATCCTCTTTGTTGTCACGTTCCATCCAATTGCGAAAAAGTTTAGACTGTCGAAATAACAGTGAGGAAGAACTTGAGAGGGAAAGACAGAGATGGATGGAAATGGAAAGTGATTGGATATCATTGACTGATGAACTTAGGATGGACCTTGAATCCATTCGCTGCCGTGCTGAGAAAGCAGAGATGGAACTGAAACTAGAGAAGAAGTGCACCGAGGAGTTAGATGATGCTCTTAGCAGATCTGTCCTTTGTCATGCTAGAATGGTTGAACATTATGCTGACCTTCAAGAAAAATACAATGATCTTGTTAGGAAGCACCGGGCAATAATGGAAGGCATAGCAGAGGTAAAGAAGGCAGCGGAAAAGGCAGGGAGCAAAGGTCATGGTGCACGATTTGCCAAATCCCTGGCTACTGAGCTCTCTGCTCTTAGAGTGGAAAGGGAAAGAGAGAAAGAACAATTGAAAAAAGAGAACAAAAGCCTTAAAATCCAACTAAGAGACACAGCAGAGGCTGTTCATGCTGCTGGTGAACTCCTTGTTAGGCTGAGAGAAGCTGAGCAAGCTGCCTCAATTGCAGAGGTGACTTAAGTGAAAACTTCTACATTTTTTTACCTGTAAAGAAGCTGCAGAATTGATCCTAACTTGAGTCCCCTTTTTATTCTTTTACAGGAGAACTTTGGAAATGTTCAACAAGAAAATGAAAAGTTAAAGAAGCAAGTGGAGAAGCTGAAAAGAAAACACAAGATGGAAATGGTTACCATGAAACAGTACCTTGCAGAGAGCAGATTGCCAGAATCTGCACTGCAACCATTATATCGAGAGGATTCGGATGTAACAACGAACAACAGCAGTGCAGTTCCGTATGATGATCAGGCATGGAGAGCAGAATTTGGAGCAATATATCAAGAACATTACTAATTCGTCCAAAGAATTCAGCCGCTAACATTGGTCAAAATGAAGATATGATCATCATCATAACCTATGTTATTAGAACGTTGGGTGTCAGATACGAGTATGTATCTTACACGATTATGTCTTTCTATGTTCTTGTATTGTATGTCCTATTTCCCTATGTCTCTTCTACAACACATTCTTTGGGTTTTATTAATAACAGATTTTCCATTGAAATTTGCCCTTTTCTCAATGATGAATAAAACCCTTGAAACATCTTTCAAATATTGTTTTCATGTAAATACTAGTGATTGGCATACATATTTAATTCAGAAGAAATATTGTTTCTATTCATTAAAGAAATTATTTCAAGATAACTAAAATTTTTAATATTATTTAAGAATTTGTTTTAGATATTAATTTAAGCTATGGTCATCCTCTATGCTTTGATTAATTTAAAATTTGTAATGACTGTAAAGTTTCATAAATACAAGGAAAGCTTCGTAAAACGCCGCCGTTTGTAGATAAGCAAACCAAAATATCTGGCATATTCAAAAGAGAAAGTAAAGTAACGTACGTCGAGAGAGGGAGAAATAACAAAAATGGCTACTTCGGATTATCCAAACACTCCCGCTGAATCTGATATTGAAACAAACCCTAATCCTTCAAAAACTATAATACCAACTCCGTCCAATTCCCCTGCCGTATGCCTCTTCCAATTTGCTGGAGACTCCGCCGCCGGTGCCTTCATGGGCTCCATCTTTGGCTACGGTATTAGTTTTTTTTTTCTCTTTTCGTTTGAAAACATTTGATGTGTTTCTTTTCTCTCTCTGGGTTTTTTAGCGCTGTTGGAAAGTTCGGGAAATAACGAATTTTTGGAGTTTTTTTCATTGAATTTCTCGGTAAGCTAGTTTTGATGTTATTTCTTAGTCTGGATTTTGGTCACTTTTGAATCAGCTCAAAACTTTTTTACTTTTAAGATTTGGTTCTATGAATCGAAAGTTATATACTTATGGAATATGGATAGTGGTTCAGCTGAGAAGATAGTCATTAGTCATGAACAATGGATTATTCTGCCAGCATTTGGAATTGTAATTTAGGGTAAGTGAAAATGATTTTCGAAAAATATTTTCATATTCATTCAGTGTTTGGTTGAAGTAGACTGGTTACAGAATTTCATTTGTTTTTTCTAAAAAGTAGTTATGGTATCATTTTTAAAATTTTTCATTTCAAAAAGAATAAATAATTAAAATAATTTTATTTTATGAATTTAATATTAATAAAATATTTTAATATCATTTTAATAAAAATATTAATTATTAAAATATTTAAATTATATTATTTTTTAATATTTTTTAATAATATAATATTATATTTTTAATATTATAATAAAATAATCAATTATATTATAATAATATAGATATTATATTTTTATTTTAATAATATATAATAAATTATTAATAAAATTTATATTATTTATTAATTTCATAAAAATAATATTATTAAATTATTAATAATGAATAATATTATTTATATATTTAATAGTATTATAATAATCTAATAATATTTTAATAAAGATATTTAAAATATACTAATTAATATTTTTAAAATATAATATAACACTATTACTTTAATAAATAATTAATATAATTTATAATATTTTTATTTCAATAAAATATACCAATATTAATATTTTTATTAATAAAATTATAAAAATAATATTTTAATAATAAATAAATTATTTTTATATTTTAAAAATAATAATATTAAGTTTTTATAATAAATAATATTATTTATTTTATTTAATATTTCTAATAAATAATTTTAAAAATTTTATTAACTAGTGGAAAAAAAGTTTAAACAACATCTTTCAAACATCGTAAAACGTTTTCACTGAAACAAACGGACCGAGGAGTGTTAGGGAGTGCGATGAGACCCTTGGAAATTTCCAATTTCCATATAGTTTAAGTGTTTTTTTTTACTTTCTATTGATAATTTAATTTCGTGCCCGTAAATTTTCTAATATAAGTTCCTGTATCTACTAACATAAAATCTCATGTCCGTCCCTGCAGTTTTAAGAACTTTAGACCTTTTAAAGATTGAGCATATACGTATTTGATTTTGTGTTAGAAATAGGATTGTGTGCTTTCTTTTACGTTCTAGGTTGTCCAACAAATGCATGTTCAGCGTCATGAAATTTTGTTTCTTTGGTTCAATGGTTGTATTTCAAGGTTAGGACTTTACCTATAGTAACCGAGTTATCTTTTGGGCGGGATATTTGCTAGACCATCTGAACATGGATTTGTAATTAACATTTGTTGTGTTTCACATGTCTTCTTGAAATCTGGTCTATACTTCCTATAATTCTATCTTTTTGTGTCCGTCCTAGGTTCTGGATTGATTAAAAAGAAAGGCTTTAAAGGATCCTTTGTGGAGGCAGGATCTTATGCCAAGGTATGAGAATCTGATGATCCTTAAAGGATCATCCTTATCTAATTGCTAACTTTATAGTTTTTCCCTCATCAAATCTCCGAGTTATATATTACGATTCTCTTTATAGACGTTCGCAGTTCTGTCTGGCGTACACAGTTTGGTTGTTTGCTTTCTGAAGAGGCTACGTGGGAAAGATGATGGTATGCCTCGTAAAAATCAGTGTAAAATAATTGCCTTTTTTGTGCTCCGTTTGCTGATATACGATAATGTTATCTTTCTCTGCAGTTATTAATGCCGGTGTAGCCGGATGTTGCACCGGACTTGCTCTAAGTTTCCCAGGTACTAGAATCTCAAAGGTTCATTCTTTTGTGGTAAAAACATAGATTTCAGTTCAAACCTCAATTTTTTTGCTTGAAATGGTTATGCAGGTGCACCCCAGGCACTTCTACAGAGCTGTCTCACCTTCGGGGCCTTCTCGTTTATCATCGAAGGGCTTAACAAGCAGCAGCCAGCGCTGGCACATCCGTTTTCTGCGAGAAACGAGAACACACACTACAAGGTACCTCGTAGTACTTTAGCACTACCGCTTTCGATCCCTCTTCCAGTTGAGCTGAAAGGAGCATTTTCTTCGTTCTGCAAGTCCTTGGTGAAAACCAGATAAAGGAAGGTTTCCTACAGCTAACTAATGGGTGGGTTCCTGTCGACTTTAGAATTTTGCAAGTGCTGAGAATGTACACTGAAAGTTTTGTTTGAGATTTGAAGCTTTTGGTAGAATAAATATGAAATTGATTCTTTCTTGAAACTGAAAACATACAAGTAATCTAAATGTTAGTATAAAACCTTTCAGTTATTTCAATTTGAACCAAAATTTTAAATTTTAAGTATTAATGTGGCATATTATTACAAAATGTCATATCAATATATTTTCATCGAAAAATATATATTATAAATTATATAAAATAATTTTGAAAAGCCTTACTGATCATTCTGTTCAAAGTAAATTTAAATAATCAAATTTATTTTTAATTTTTTAATTGTATTAATTTTATCTTCAAATTCATTTAGTTATATCAATTTTGTCTTTTGATGACGTTGATTGTTAAAATAAAAAATTGATATATATATATATATATATGGATCCTACCTATATTATTTTAATTTGGATAAGATTTGTGTTGGATTTGATTTTCAATTCAATTGTGATAAAATAACTGTTTTTTTATTATGTATAAGTTCAGTTTTTATCCAACTATGTTTACAATGTTAATTCAGATTGTATTTATATTTGTAATTTTAGGATGGGTGAAATATGATTATATTTACTCAAAAAATTTAAATTATTTTGTTAAAAAATTAAATTATTTGAGTGGTAATCGAATTAAGATTAAATTAATAATTAATTTAATGTTTTATTGTTCAACTATTATTGTTTATCAATTCAATAAATAGTTCCTCCTTTTTTTGTTTTCGTTTTTTATTTAACAAATATAAAATGCCACCTAATAATGTGCTGAACGACGGAAACGTTGCTTGGGCGCTACGCCGTCGTTTAATTCGCCAATTCCAACCATCGAAATTTCAATCAAATTCAATTAATTTCAAATTTTGTTTTCATATTCTTATTCAATCCGATCTCTCTTCACCCGATTTTCCAAACTTTTCTTTTTCTTTGGGGTTTGACTAACTGTTCATTCGATTTCAGTTTTCCTCTTTGTAAGTTGTTTATGAATTTCGTTTATTTTTCATTAAATTTGCATTAATTGATATGGATATTTGCTTAATTTCGCTAGAATTTGGGGAAGTTGAGAATTTGTTGTTGGGTTTGAATCACGTTTCCTTCTTTGTCTTTATTATTAGATTAAGGTTAATTTGATTTCTCAAATTATCTCTTCATTGTAAATATTCATCCAATTTTTAATAATTGAGACCAAACCCTGTTCAAAAAGGTTTTCCCCTTCTTTAAGAATCCATTAAATTTAGGGTTTTCTTTAAATTCAGATTAAATTAGCATCATACAAAGGAAGGCGAACTTTTTTATTGCCCTAAGTTAATTTTACAAGGTGGACAATTGGGTATAATTTGCTTGCTTGATTCTTTTTTGGATTTTCTCGATATGTATCCTGTTTTGAATTGAAGTTCATAATCCAATTGCAAAAGAAAATATTTTTTTTGTGTGTAATTCTCCGATTCTTCAACAGAAGCCATCAAAGGGAGAAAATTAAAAAGGAAAGAGTTTTCTAAGGACCATTCTGGGTTAATTTTGAAAGCTCAATTTAGCTTCCGTTTGCTCCTATTTGTTTTTCTTTCATTCTCTGGTTTTGTGTATATCTCATGATTTTTTGGTCCTTCAAATAACCTTTTAACTTGATCATCATTCAAGGTCAATGGCAGCTTCATCAGACCCATGGATAAAAGAATACAACGAAGCAGTAAAAATTGCAGATGATATCAATGGTATGATATCTGAGAGGATTTCCTTACCTGCATCGGGACCAGAAACTCAGCGTCACTCATCGGCTATAAGAAGGAAGATTACAATTTTATGGACTAGACTTGATGGATTGCAGTCCCTTATGTCAAGACCTACTGGGAAGCCCTTGTAAGTTATCTTAATTGAGGTGCAAATAGGAGTGAATTGATGTTGTGTTTAGTAATTTTCGATTGTATATTTTCTGGGGTTTTCATAACATGTGGCACTTTATTGTTCTTTTTGTAAATTGGAATATGTTATAATATGAAGAATAATCTGTCCGTTTGTCCATTCTTCATATTTTGTTCACAGAACAGAGAAGGAGATGAACCGTCGCAAGGATATGGTTGCAAATTTGAGATCAAAAGTGAGTCAGATGGCTTCTACCTTCAATATGTCAAATTTTGCAAACCGAGATAGCTTGTTGGGGCCAGAAACAAAGACTGATGCCATGAGTAGAACAATTGGTTTGGATAACTCTGGCCTTGTTGGTCTTCAACGACAAATTATGAAAGGCAAGTTATTTTAGTTTCAAAATTTTATCCCTGCTTGGTTGTAAAATGGCTTTAGTTTCCCCAACTAACGAATATGTCTTTTTCAAGCAGAGCAAGATGAGGGCCTTGAGAAGTTGGAGGAGACAGTAATAAGTACGAAGCATATTGCATTGGCGGTCAATGAAGAACTTGATCTGCATACCAGACTCATTGTATGTTTCTCTCTATTTTCTTTATAGTCTTTTGCTTCCATTTAAAAAAAAAAAATAAATGCTTGGTGAGGATTGATTCATCCTCGGTAAACTTTATGTTGTGCTCCCTCAATGCAGGATGACCTGGACCAACATGTGGACGTCACTGATTCTCGCCTACGGGTAAAACACTTGCAATTTATTAACATTTTAAATGCATAGCACAATGTCTTCCTTTCATTTTTTGAATGGAACGAAATCCAATGACTGATGTGTAATATATTTATCATGTCTCCCTTCTAGCAATAGGCATTCCCATAAATGACTTTAAGCCTCAGAATACACAGAATATGTCATGTGGTGGGAAATTTTAGGTTATGAATCTTGTCATGGTGGAAGGATAGAATTCATGGACATTCAATTTGTGTTTAGAATTAACAAAGATCTCAAGTAAACTAAGGATTAGATGGTTTTTAGTTATTGAAATTATTCAATAATGGTGGATTCTGAGAATTGTGTTTTCTTTGCCAACAGAGAGTGCAGAAAAACCTAGCAATTCTGAACAAGCGAACCAAAGGTGGCTGTTCCTGTATGTGCATGCTATTAGCTGTTATTGGAATTGTGATTCTGATTGTCACCATATACCTTCTGATCAAATATTTGTAATTACCGACCATTGCAAACGCAACAAGCTTCGCCATTGTTGTATGTGGGTGTCATGAGAGGAATTGGTTCAGTTATTACCTCCCTGTTGGAAACTTAATATTTGGCATTGTGCCTTCTCTTTTCCTTTTTATCTTTCCGTGCTGTGTGTGAAGATGTTGAGCCAGCTCAAACTAAGTAAATTGCAAGTAATTTAAGTCTTGTAGACATTTTGATTATCATATATATTATCTTTTGATGTTGAATCTAAAGCATTGGCCAGCATCAAACCTTGAAGCATTTCAGGCTCATGTCCTCGTACTAGTTTGAGATTTAAGCATGAACACATCTATTTTGGACGATACAATCATATAAAACAAATGGCAACTGATAATACTCATAAGCTTCAAGATCTTTACACAACGGCAAAAAGCAGGAGAAAGAAAGAAGAGATTAAAGAAATTAGAAGAATAGCCTTCGTGGAGGTGCTCCAGATGGAACAGTTGAAGGTGAAGACGGTTTAATGGGTAAGGATATCCCCCTTCTTTCTTGCCCTCCAAGTTTTTCAGTCTGTTTTGCAGCCTTGGGGTCGGTTAATAATAATGTCTTCTGAAACGACTGTGAGAAGCCTGTAGCAATAATAGTCACATGGATCTCCCCATTGTAACGGTCATCAACAACAGCACCAAATATGATGTTAGCCGAAGGATCAGCCAAACTCGTCACAACCTGAAAATCAACAAAAACTAAATCAGATTACAAAGAGAACGTCTGAAAATTAGAAGCATGTAAACTAAAATGTATTTCATTTTCCATAAACACAGTACGATCAGCAAAGAAGAAATCGATGGCTCGGAGCACCATACGTACCTGTGACACTCTATTTACTTCCTGCAAGGTTATATCTTTTCCTCCGGTAATATTATATACCACACCAGTAGCTGATTGAATTGATGATCCAATTAACGGAGCCAAAGTTGCTTGCTCGGCCGCTTCTTCTGCACGGTTTTTACTGGAGGAAACTCCTACCCCAAGCATTGCAGTTCCAGAATCTTTCATGACTGCCTTAACATCTGCAAAATCCACATTCACCAATCCAGGTATCTGCAACAAGAAAGGAAGAAATTCCATTAAGTTACAAGCTAAAAACCAGAAAATATAAACAGGAAAAGCATTTATAATACCAAGTTCAAATGGTTCGGGCATGTAAACATTTCTGACCTAGATGACAACAATTCATGCATCACAGTATATATTGAATAGTTATTGAATGCAAAACGTCATAAATGTCTAACTAGAATGAATAAGTAAAATAATGAAAACATCTAGAAACAGTGGAATCGAAGAATATCTGAAAATGTAGTGTGGCATGTAAAAGAATCAGAGACCGTGATTATATCTGAAATTCCTTGAACCCCTTGGCGCAGAACATCATCAGCTAGAAGAAAAGCATCTTGCAGAGGTGTCTGCTCATCAGCAATGTCAAGCAGACGGTCATTGGGAATCACTATGAGAGTATCAACATTCTTTTGCAACTTTTCAATAGCCTCTACTGCCTGCAAATATAGAGATATAAGACAACTATTCTGACATTAAATGATCGAAAACTCAGTAGCTTATAAACTTATTGACATTATTTCATTGCATAACCCAATTGGTTCTCTGCTGGACTAGGATTTAAGGCTATATATCTTCCACTATATCAAGCATTGAATAGAGGGAGTCAAATAAACATGCCTGCACTGTTCGTTTACGCCCCTCAAAGCTGAAGGGATAGGTTACCACACCAACAGTCAAATAACCAGCATCTTTGGCTATCTGGGCAACAACTGGAGCAGCACCGGACCCAGTGCCTCCACCCATGCCTGCAGTTATAAAGACAAGATCCGAGCCCTTAAGAGCATTTGCAATGGCATCTCTAGATTCCTCTGCAGCTTGTTCACCCAAAAGTGGATTTCCACCGGTTCCTACATTTCAGTCAATTGATTTACATCATTGAATCAAATATAAAGCAAGTAAATAGCCCTACGACAAATCACAAGAGACGAAATGGTATTCGTATTTGATCAAACAAGAGTTCTCGACCTAGTCCCCGAGTCAAAAGCTCTCCAATTTGAAGTGGGTTCTCAGCATCAGACTGTAGTAGTGCTTGGGAATCCGTGTTTATCGCATAGAAATCAATACCCTAATTCCAAAACAGAGCAGCAATGCCATCAGTAATTTCCTCCATGGAAGTTAAACATCGTGGCTATATCATAGAATTTAGGACCAAAGTGCCTTCAGTTATCATCTTCATTACCTTCTTATACGCAGTTTAAATTCAATCTAACAACATCTCAGCAAAAGGAAACAACGAGAGCTAAGTTTTCAGCCCATGCAAAATAACCCAAGAAATTTCAAAAAATATGCGAGCCTTAAGAAAAACCCAATAGGATAACAGCTGAAAACTAACCTGTAAACCGCTACCAATCATCCGGTTAACAGCATTGTTACCGCCTCCACCAACACCAACCACCTTTATCTTAGCAGTTTCCATTGGAGCAAAGGAACAACTTATCCCTCCAAAACGGTGACGCATCCTTAAAAAGCTTTTCTTCAATGGATTTTTTGACGAAAAACGTAGTCTCGAAGAGAAACAAGAAGAATTTGTTGATATTAATTCTTTTGGGTTTATTATTTGAAGTGTCGCCATTTTTTTTGAAAAAAATGAAAGGGTGGAATAAGGGGTTTTCTTTTAAACGATGTTTGATTGAATGGAGAAGAAAAGAGAGGGTTTTAGTAAGATTTTCAGTAAATTTTCAGAATTTCAAGGGTAGGGAAAATGCTCTTGAGAGATCACTTGAACAGATTAGGAGCCACTGGTTTTGGCAACTGAACATCGCAACGACGTCGTTTCCACTTCTTCCTTCATACATTTTACCTCATTTACTCCATCAATCTTCCTAATCAAATTGACGAGAATATTACGATTTTAAGAAGCAAAATTTGAAAATAAGATAAAGAAGTGTAAACAAAGAGTTAAATTCAATATATTATCCAAAAATACATTTTAAATTAGAATTTGTTTAAAAGCTGTTACCATAATATATAAAGCATAATTGTAATGCAATTAGCGATGATGGATGGATGAATGAATTTCAGAAATAATTATAAACTGCTAAAATGTGAACCCCCAACTTGTTAAATACTTGCATATTAACTGAATTTTATTCAATTCCTTGACAACTTATAACCATGAATTATTTAAATAGAAATTTTATAAATTTTTAATAACTAATGATTACTTGAATCAATTATTCCTTGACAACTTATAACCATAAATTAATTAGACATAAATTTTATAAGTTTTTTAATATATTTTTGGATGTTTGTTAAAGTTGCTTTTAAGATACAACATGAGATCAGACACGAAAACTGAAATATAATCTTTTATTTTTTATATAAAAAATCCATAATCGGACAACATTATTTTTTTTATGAAAATTGAATAATAGATAGTAATATAAGTGTGTAACAAATGAGAAACTGATAACATAAGTGCCAAGATCAAGCTCGAATTCGACTTACATACAGAACCAACACCAGAAGATAAAACGGATAATTCTTGATAACTATATTTAGATGTCGATTCGCAATCTGACTGCCGGTTTACCGATAATCTTTTGAAAGATATAATTGTGAAGAACTTCATTCCCCTTCACTTAAAATGGGGACGATGAGTGGTTTCATCTTAGCAATATATACAATTGCCTACCTATCAAAGAAAAAAGAACATTAAAAATTAGAAAGACAATATAATAAGACGATGTTTACTTACTAGTAAGTGCTCCACATGATAAAAGTAGCAATTTAGCTAGAATCATCCCACACCCCAAAGTTGCCCCCACATAGGTCTTCCTCATTAACCCCAGTAACTAAGGTAAACTACGTACAACCTGAGCCCTTGAAAGTGCTGCCGTAACACAGTCCAGCCGAAATCCCGCCTCCAAGTCAAGTTCCTCACTCGAATCCTTCCGCCAAATGAAAAAGCACTTTTGGGAGGTGAACCAGAGACTAGACCAACTTAATTCTAAGGAATTAGGCCCCTTAAACAGACTGCGTATTAGTGATTAGGGAGGGGAGGAAAGAAAGAATGCATGCATGCATGTAGATTTTCTCTTGGAGGTTTGATAATCTATAAGGGATGCATATTTATGAGAAAAATATAAGAATCCATCATTGGTATGAATAGTACACAAGCATTCAAGAGTGCCAAAGAAAGATGAGTGAACACATTTACTGTTCTTTTAAATAATAAAATCCAGAGCTTTATCATCTACCATGGAAACTCTTAACCTACCTTATTCCACAAAAATAGCAACCATCAAAGTCTCATGCATCGGTAGAATAGCAAAAAATAACAAAGCAAGGTACATAAAGTGCTCGGCATTTAAAAAGTATACTATTCAGTGAATTCACTGCTAAAGAATCTAATTCAAATGCTAGACGAGAAGTCCTTTATAAGAAGCTTAGAATTAGGTCTTTGTGTTGCCGTACAAATTTAGCAATATGTCAACACCCTAAAACTAACACACAGGCATTCATAGACACACCCCTAGAAGAAAAGCAATTTCCAACTGCACAAATGCAAGGAAGGAAGAAAGGAACCAACATTATATTATATTGTTCATCTAAACCAGAATTTAGGAAAATAACATGGTTAACCAGAGACCAATGTTAATAATCATCAAAATTTAAGATTTCATTGCTAAAAAAACTTCAATATTTCATATGGTTAATACTTTACCAACTGTATATATATATAAAGAGCAAGCTACTATGAAGAAAGAGAAAAAATCGTGTCACACCCCATATTTTAATTTAAACACATTTAATTTATTAATGGACTAAAATGGATAGTTTTGAAAAATTATGGGTCAACCTCGATTTTTTAGGAAGTTCAAGGACTTAGTCATGAATTTTCCCATTTTTTTGGCAGTACAGAAAATTTGAAAATAACAAATATGTGATTATAGAGGCTTGATCTCGTGACCTAGAAGATGACCACTCATGACTTACCTATAAATCCTAGGTTATTGTTAATGAATATAATAATAAAAATAAAATTTAAAGGTTAGGCTCGGGTTAAATACCCAAATTTGATACCCAAGCATGAACCAAACCCCAAATCCCCCCAATCCTTAGCCATCTCCGTCACCCATCTCTGATCTAGCTACCTCCGGTCGACGGTGGTGTACATCATCGTTGCCATCGGATTCAGCAGCAA